AATGCCCTACCCCAACACTACCCCTTCATCGTTGAGTGGAATCTATCTGGCGAGTTCACTTGAAACCAAGGGGTAAGATTAAGGGTAGAGAATTGGGATTGGCTCCAAGTCAAGTGAGATCATCAGTGACTCCTCTCATGTACTGCATACCCAGTACAAGCTGCTGCCCCTGGTAGGAGTCTGAACAGATTTACAAATTCATTCATACCTGTGTCGATAAAGCTTTTAAACTATGGCGGATAAGCCAGATCTGGCACTGGATTATGATGATGTGCTGATTTGCATTTGTGTAGAGGTATTTTTAGCGTATGATGTCATCGATTATTTATTTATCTTTTTGTGTTTCTTATCACTATGTTGGGTATAATGTTGATTTCTCTATGTAATATGTTCTAAGCTGTATTTCTATGACTGCAGTATGGGTGTTGGGCCCAAGACAAATTTCCCACTCTGTAGGACAACTGAGTTCTTCATCTTGTATAAATAATGTCAGTGGTTTTGTTTCCAGTAATCATGCAGACTCCTCAGGGTTAATGTGGTAATGATTTATTGATGTTAAAATGCTACACATAGCACCTTTACATGTCAGGGGTCCACAGTAAGGAGTCACTGACACAGGTTGGAGATCCCTGCTGTTTGCTGTTTGCTGTCTGAGTGCGTAGAAAACCGGAGGGCTCAGAGAGGGAGACGCATGGAGTGGTCAGAGTTATATGCTTGCAAGATGTTTGTGTTTTTTCACTTTTGTGATTGAAGAAATCCTTTATTTCAAAGGAAGAAAATAACACATTTGAAACAAGCAGTCAAAGGACATGGGTCAAATCTGCAACACCTACACCTTGTCCTGTTAGCATGTTAACGTTACTGTGGCTAAAGAAAAGACAAAATTAAACTCTCCAACATTATAGCCTATTAAACAAGTCTCAGTAGTATGGCACCATTTTCAGGCTGTCATAGAGTCCAGTGTTTTGTGATGAGAGTACTATTTACAATTAAAAACCAAACCAAAAAAAAAAAAAAAAAGAATCAACAAAGGAGTTGATAAGCATGTGTTTTAAAAATAGTGCTTGAAATGAGTGACTTGACGTAAAACTATGTACATACCTGTATTTGTCAAAGCTTGTTTGCCTTTATATACACATCTTTTTTCACATTGTTAATAAGTCACATCAATCATATTAAATATAGCAAACATTTCCGCTGTAGTAAAAAGAAAGGGAAAGAAACGAGTCAATTCGAATGACATGTAACCACGTGTGTATCACATTTCAACATAAAACATAGAACAATAATATTAATACCAATAGTAATGACATTATTCGAACAATTAAATGGAAATCTCTTTTCAGCATCTCTTCGCCATGAAATAATTCTACTCTGCATCATTATCCGGTTCATTTTGCTATGTACAAGAAACATTCAGATCTGTATCCTTCCAGTAGAGATCTCTGTTTAATACTCACATTTGGTTTTTCAGTGTTTGCCATTCGGTAACTGCGCTGAGATGCTGTGAAGACCTGAAATTACTGACCTGATATATCGCCCAAGTTTTCTGCAATTTAAAAGGAAAAGTCTCACATTTTGTCAGGTGAGAAGATCGGTAAAGTTTCACCTCTGTATGGAGATAGATTTGTCTCAATATTATCTGTGTGAACAGCTCGACAATCTGTGTGTTAGTGTGTAATCTGTGAATGCAAAACACCCTCCACAAATACAAAATAAGATCTGAAAATCAAAAAACTATTTTCCAAATACAAAAATCTGTAAATACTAGGGCTGTAATCAACCAAAGAATATCTATGTCGACTGAAATTCCACCTGTTCTAGCGTTAGCCATCCTGCCGCGCCAACAAGGGCTCCAGTGTGATCCTATTCCTTTCAGAAGTTTTATAATCCAGCCTTGAACTGCAATGTCTTTATGGAGAGTCCGGGTGCTTTCAGACCTAGAGTTGTCTCCTTTGGTCTGAATCAGGGACTAATTTAGTTACACAGTTGTATAATTGCCTAGAGTTGGTTCATGTTCTCACGGCAGCATTTACAAGCGGACCAGATCAAATGCCTTGTGTGAGAAAGCTGCTCTTGATTGGTCAGAATTTCCATGTGGGAAAAATCCAGGAAGTAAAGCAAACGTTGAAGAAGAGTACACTTGCAAGATAAATGTGACACTTTCTAATGTCACAATGGAGGGACAACTACGCAGGTTGATTTTAGCGCTGCTCATCGTGGACTATATTGCTGTCATTGTTCATTTTAGTCAAACCATACAGTTTGAAAACGAGGCGCGGCTCCAACTAGAAAACAATGTTTTGATGCATTGGATGTGCTGAATGTGCATATTAAGGCAGTACAGGAGGAGGTGCACATTAATAATCCTCCAGGACTGTAACATGCTCATGTTTAACCCAAACAATGTGTCATGTGACTGCAGTTGGTTCAGATCGACATTCTGAGACCACCTCTTCAAGAAGGTCTCGATCAAATTGTTTTGGTGTGCGCCTGAGTGTGATTGCTGTGTTCACACCTGCCCAAACGAACAGCACTTAGGGGGCCAAAGGAACTTGAGTTTGATTGAACCGAACCAGACAGGGCAGGTGTGAAAACACCGTGTCAGCAAATCTGACACTGAATGTCTTGTGCGACATCACCAGCAGTCCAATTACAGTAAAGAAAGGGCAGGACTAATACCACAAAGACCAACTGTCACAGAGGACAAATACAAGTGCTGAACAACAACTGCTGTTTCAGCTGGGAAAAGAAACACTTTGATGTACACTCGGCCTTATTACAGTAACACCAGCAACTGTCTTACCAATGAGACTTGGGATGGACAAGAGCATATTGACCAACCTATGAGAATTGACAGCCATAGTGAATACATTTCATTAATTTACAAATAAATTGTTCCAGACATTAATAACTTTTGAACGGATACTTGTGTTTGTTTTATATTTGCAAAATATTTTTTTGCGACTTTACATATCTGTGTTTGCATTTGTGGAAGGTGTTTTATATTTACAGATCACACATTAACACATGGACTGTCAATCTGTTCACACAAGTAATACTGAGACAAATCTATTTCAGTCGACCTCGAGTACTCCTCAAAGATGTCAGACTCTTCCTTTAGAAACTCGGGCTGTACTGTGATGGAGTTGTGTCTGGATTCACTGATTCCCTCGAGAGAGCGAGTGCAACCACTGCTTAGCTAAGAGGATGACAAAGCGATACATTTTCTTTTTTTTTAGTTTTTTTGTTTTGTACAAGAGAATGTCTTTCACATCAACTTCAAAACAATCAAGACTGCGTACTTGCTGCAGGACATGAATAAATACAGAAAATTAAAATTCTTCTAATCAAGTCAGTTCAACTTTTCAACCCAAATAAAAGAAAGAAAACTCATCCAGAGGTCCAAGATTATCGACGACAAACAAATAATAATTCAAGTGGAAAAAGATAAAAATGACACTAACAATTGTATAGAAGTGTTTGTGCTTGTGAGGACATTAACCCATCACCTGAAATGTGCCTCAAAGTAAAAAAAAAAAAAATGCAAAACTGGTCCATGTTGCATCAGTAGCTTCAAAGATAAACAGGTCGTCTTTATCCCTGACTACACATCTGCATTAAGTGGGTGCCTGAAATAAAGTGCAGGATATTTCTACGCCATAATTTCCATATTCTAGACTTTTTTTCAAACATTTACGGATTAATCTCATTGTTGACGAGCTCAACAAAGAAATCACTGAACGCTGAGAGATTACATTCTTGTAGCATGATGGAAAACTAGGAGCGATGCGGTCGACTGCCAGTAACTCAAAACAAAACAAACAGAAGTTGGAGTTGCACCGACAGGGATAAGAGTGTGTGTGTGTGTGTGTGTGTGTTTTATGGTGCGTTCAGATACAAAGTGAACCAAATGATTCTGACCCTACAACAATATAATCATTAGAAACTGGTGGGGAAAAAAAACAGGACAAAGAACTGCATTTGATGCTCAGACACAAATATTTCTCTGTACATTCATGAAGTGGAGACATACAACGACTTCAGTCCCTCTGCATCTGTTCTTACACAATGATCCTATAATCAATTAACATGCTGGTTATTGTTTTGATCAATTCTGCCCTACAAAAGGCTCGCCACAGCAACTAAAAGTTTGGTTAAAATTGAGTTATGACTAAAGTTAAACCCTTGAATATGTGTTTTATCTTGTGACAACATTTTCTGATTCAATCTTGTTCTATTGCAGTCTGTAGAGAAAATAAGCTGTAAAAAATGCACTGACTACACTTTCCAACCAAAACCCAAGGCAAACCAGTAAATGGTAAATGAAGTTACTGCAGTCTGATTTGGGGTCCTGGAGAGTTACAGTAGGATTCAACTGGGCCAAGGAAAATCACAGTAGAGGCCCAGTTATGCTTTTTGCACAGACATGAGCTGATGCGGTTTCCTGACAAGGAAATGTCTGGATCTTTTATACAAAACCAATATTCTCCCAAACTGTAGGCGGCAGTGTATCAAAATCTCACATCTACAGCATGGCTCTCCGCCCACCTGCATCCGTGTTGTTGGAAAATGTCTGAGGCGTACCCCCCAGAGAGGGCTGTGTTTGATAGTTTAACATCAGTTGAATCAAGCTGAAATCATGTATAAGCATATTACGGTGACGTGTGAAGGATGCCAGCAACAAAATAATTGTTACCATGACTACAACCATAGCAAGATCCGTGATGTCAAGTAATTTCGGTCAAACCTGATGAAGTGAATATCACGACAAAATAATCCGTGAGGGTTACTTTAAATTTTCTCTGTTACTACTTTTAAAACACTCATTCATTCATTTTCTTTAACCGCTTATCCTGTTGGGGGGGGCTGGAGACTATCCCAGCTGACATTGGGTGAGAGGCAGGGTTCACCCTGGACAGGTCACCAGACTATCACAGGGCTGACACATAGAGACAGACAACCATTCACACTCACATTCACACCTACGGACAATTTAGAGTCACCAATTAACCTGCATGTCTTTGGACTGTGGGAGGAAGCTGGAGTACCTGGAGGAAACCCACGCTGACACGGGGAGAACATGCAAACTCCACACAGAAGGGTAGCTGTTAAAGGTAATATAAATGCAGACTGCAGTAACCACACAGTTTTAGTGCATTTCTAGGGTCATAGGTCAAATCATTGATAGGGGGTTTAAGCATAAAAATTACCAAGTGCATTACCACTTTTCTAACTATATCACATTTGGCTGGACTGTCGAAAAACTGAGATCCTAGTTACTGCTGGTACCCTGTGTAGAGCAGAATTGTTTCATCTCTAAAATGCTGAAAATGTTGAAAAATGCTGGACTCAATTCAACAGAACCGAACAAGATGTCCTCAGATGTCTCTGACCGACAGTCTAACGCTCAAAGATGTTCAATTTAATTCAATATAGGACGAAAAAAAGCAGCAAATCCTGATATCTGAGAAGCTGGACCTGTGACTGTTTGGTATTTCTACTTGGAAAATGACTAAGATGATTAATCGATAATTTTCTGTTGATTGACTGAGCTATTAAAATATCTCCTACTGGTCTATATTCAGCATCCACTAGTAAACTAGTGTCTGTTTCACCAGTAACACCCAGTATTAACCAAGTACATCTGATTTTTTTGAAGACATTTCTTCCTGCGTACAAAATGTAACAAACTGCTGCATGAAATGATGGGATTTTAGATTTAAATGTTGAATAAAATTTCATATAATCTTCTAAATTCTGCTTCGTGTTGTATCTGAATGCAGATTTGTGAAACTCATCTTGAAAAACTCACATCAACCTCTCTGTATTACTTAAAATAGACTCCACTGAGCACTCTTGACTGCATTATTGTAAACAAAGGACTCATATGATAATATGACTTGAAAAAAAAAAATTACAAATTGGAAACAAAAGAAAGAAAAAAAACATATAGGCCTACGTTTATTCAGCTTTGTTTGTTGTGTTATCTAGTATAAGGCTGGTCCAGTCATTGTGTGTTTCTGGCCGTTCACAGAGTCCTGCTGCATGACTGGTCCTGGTCAGCTGGTCAGAGGTAGAAGCCGGTGGCTGGCGGGTCAGGGAGGCTGGACAAGGTCTCAGGTACGGGCATCTGGACAGTAGGGGGCGCCACTCCGTTTCTATTGGGCAGAGCGCAGCCTCCTGGGTAAGTACTGTTCAGGATGCAGCCATTCTCCATCTGCATGAGGCAAAAGAGACGTAATGAGCACAGACAGGAAGTCAGAGTATAAAATACAGTCATATGTGGAGTTAGCTGAAGCATTGCTAATAAAAATAACCCCTGTTATTCAGATTCTAATCCCCAAACATGCACAATTTGAGGAATATTCAGATCACGATTATTTATCACAATTATACTTTGATTCACAATTCATTCATTTTAGGTTCAAAATATGTTTTATGACACAATATGTCACATTTGAATAAAGAGAGCACTGCTTTCACCTCCATGTTGTGCTACATTTCTGCTAATATACAAATCTTTCCATCAGTAAGGGTTATATAGGGTGTTTTCACATATAGTCCTTTTAAAACAAACCAACCTCAGTCTTCTTAAAGTGCACCAAAAAATGGACCGACAGAAAAACCACTCCATTCTTTTTGTGTTCACATTATCAGCTCATTTCAAAGAGGACCCCAGGACTCAGACTCTCAGCTCTGATGGGGTCTCAGTCCTCTTTCTGTTCACACTATAGCCTATACATATAAATTGTTGTAGTTTTGTTTTTACTTTGACGTGTCACTGCAGTGAGGTTATGAAGCACCACTCTTTCAGATGTACTTAATATTGGAAGAGAACCTTCGCATTTCTGTGCTGTAGACTCTTGCCGTTTGATATATTCCACACTCCATATCTGGAGACGTGCAGTATCTTCTGTGAACCAAACTACTCCTCATCCTGCGTCCTTGCAAGCATTATAGGCCGACGTGGTTTTGCCTGTTTTTTTCAGGCGTCCCAATACAACAGCATGTGATCTAGAAGGCTAAATACAAGGCAAAGAGCAAATCCAACCTGGAGCGCTTTGTGTTCACAAGGCGCAGGTTAAGTGAACCGCACCGTGGACTTGAAGCAAACTGAGCTCAGATCAGCTCTCTAAGAGGTCTGAGAGTGGTCTACATCAAAAGACCCGCCCTCTCGCCAACACTTCTGGCAACTATGGAGATGCTTTCTTTTCAGTTTTGGTGTAATAAGGAAACTAATCAGATTCTTCCATGAGAATTTCCACCAGGTTTGCGAATTAGTGGTAGAAAGGTGTATCTTTGACATATAATTTGCGGTTGTGTTACATTACGTGGAGTAACCGATGATTACTGTAACAATTATATTAATACACAAGAAAATTCCATGACTTCCAAGCCTGGAAAATGGGATAATGAAATTCCATGACTTTTCCAGCCTTTCCATGACTGTGGGAACCCTGGATCAAGATTAATACTCAGTTAATTGTGCAGCTCTCACATCCCATTTGTTGGGCTGTTTAAAGTTCAATGAATTAAATATTCAAACTCATGTTATGTTTTAAGGCTGTATTGTGTCCTCAAATGGAAATGTCCATTATTTTATGCACACAGTAACGCACTGTACCTTTGGGATCACAACTAGGATTTAAATAAATTTCTGTGGATTTAAACAATGTTCGTTTGACTGCACAGATTTTCTCCTGACTGCAGACTGAAGAGGACGTTAAACTTTTATTTTGAAAGGACATGTAGCCAAACATTCTGATATATGCATGAAGGAAACTGAGTGAGCACAGTTTCTTTATTTAAAGATATGAATGTCATGTTGTCATGTGATGATGTCATATTGTGATGTGTGGATGACTTCACCCACTCTGTGCATGTGCAGAGTGGGTGAAGTCATCCACCCACTCTGTGTGTTCACAGATGCATACATAAAGTATGAGTTTGTGCATAAAGTGCAGCCTGGTTGACAAACGATCATCATCAGAATTTCTGCGCTCATATATATTGATCACCGTAGACAACATCACGCTAGGCCTGTGAACCGTCTTATCTGCACATACTCATATAGAAATACTTCATTTAAAACTGTCTGTTTAATAAACTGGTATTTGCTGAATGTTTTTTTTTTTATCAGCCTTAGAAACTCTTGCACCACTGTGTGTTTATCAGCTCCACAAAGTCTGCGCTGCATCTCATCTTTCAGTCACTGCAGCAAATAAAAAACAGCCGCACAGCTCTTCCAGTTTTTGTAGGTCACAGCACATCAAGTCTTTTCAGTCTCTGAATACGGAGCAATGACCCCAAATGAACAAAACAAACAAGACACAGATGTAGAAAAAAGACAGCACTGTGCCTCTTCTTAGATCGCTGCCTCAGATATTTTCCTCCTCTGGTATGTTTCCGACCAACAACGATTAATCTGATTTGACTCAAGTTTAATGCGTTTAGCAAAGATTCAATGGATTTTTATATGTTTTATTATTTAAATGCAAATATCTTCTGTAAATTTGTGTACACAAGCTATAAATCAGACAGAACAAAAGTTAACCCTTTGACACTTGGAGCTGCATCACTTTTCTTGTGCTGCTTTCAGACACCTTTCACAACTATTGAAACCTTTGAACGCTGAGCTAATCGGTGTGATTTCTTTCAAAAACATGGGGGAAAAAAGGCAACGAGCAACCCGATAAGAAATTTCCCACGAATAATAAAAATTAATCGATTTAGAAACTAATTTTTAAAAGCTAGGGGAAAACTTTTTATAATTATCATTAATATATATTTAAAATTATGTCACACAATTACTATAATTTTTAAGCTCTTTTTCCAGGTATTTTTTTTTTTTTGGTAATTTTCTTCTTTTTTCTTTTATCATTTTCTTTTATATATATTTTTTTGTTTGTTTTGTTTTTTGTTTTTACTTTTGCTTTATCAATTTTTTTTTATTTGCTAAATTCTTGCAAATTTTGGGGGTAATTTCATCTGTCATTGCTCATTGCCATCTTGCCATGTTATTGAGAGAACTCAGGCCACTTTGCTCGGGTTTCAAAGGGTTAATAACCTTTTCGCAAGTGACTCATGAATATGTCAAGTTTGTAAAGGACACACTTTATTTTGAAGTACAGTGAATTTCTGGCACAGAGCTTTTATTTTGAAGTGTTGTTCTAAATTTGTTTGCCGAGTATGAAAAATTCTGGTAAGAAAATACTGATGAATCCCAGATTTGTGCATAAAATGTTCGTACGCACTGTTTATGAAGAGGCCCACTATCTTTGTAACCAAGCTAGTGATTCAGCAACCTCACCTTATTGGGACTGGGGTCATGAGGGATCTCAGAGGTCACCATGCCATAGTGGTCCAGCTGCCGGCACGGCTTGGCCACTCCGAGGATCTGCTCCAGGGAGGCGTTGGGGGGAGGGCACTGCGACAGGCTGGAGATGACCTGAGCCAAAGGAACTGGGATCTGCTCCTGCTGCCGTTTATGGTTCACCCCCTGGAAGGATGAAACCGTGGACTCGGCCCCGAGCTGCTGTTCACTCCGCCCAAACAAACCACTTCCACTGATCGTGAAATCCGCATTGTCAATATCAGGCATGCTAAAATCCATGCAAGAATCTAGTGAGGTGTTTGTCAGAGGTTTTTGGCCGTTATCAAGGCAGGAGTTGCTGCCCAGACTCTCGCTGAATCCAAAGTCCTGCCACTGGGATTTCCCTGCTGGGTGCTCCGTGCTGGAGACGCCGCACAGTCCGTTGAGGTTGGCTGCCTTCTGTTTGGCATGGCACTGCTGTGAGAAGTGGTTCTGCATCCTGGGTTGCTGCTGCTGCTGCTGAAGGAAGTGTTGATGTGTTTGCTGCTGCTGAAGCTGTCCATCCAGCTCCGAGGCCTTGCCATTGAAAACAGTCTGTTGTGTGTTAAAGTGTCCCAGTTGTATTCCTGCACTGACCAGAATGTCCTGGGCTGTCCACTGTCCGTTGGGGAGCGACTGATTTTGGCCCAACAGCTCTCCGTTCGCTATCGTGTTAGCCAAATGGTCGCTCTGCTGGCCCCAGTCATGCGCCACTTTACCTGGTCGCATGTTGAGGTGCTGCTGCATCTGCTGGGACAGCTGCACGATGGGAGCCGACCCCACCAGGGGAGGCTTATGGTGAGGAAACTGCATTTGCACATTAGTGTCAGAAGTGGCATTACTTTCAGGTAGTGACACCGTGGTGGCAGTCGCTGAGGCAGTACTGGGAGGCGCCTGTCCTCCATGCTCTGTGGAATCAGTCTTCCCCTCGATGGAGTCATAGATGTACGAAAGAATCTCGTCGTTTGTCAGCAGGTCGTCCAAGGTGGGCACACGTTCAGGGTCCATCTCAACTCTGATCATCCGCTCATCCAGCAGCAGCAGCTCCAGGTCCTCAGCACTCAGCCCCAGCCCCTCCAGAGCCCCAAACAGCTCGCCGTTTGAACACCCGCTCTCTTCTGCATCCACAATCCCATGGCCTTCCAGGGAGAGGGAGTCCAACGTAGCCAGCAGAGGGTCAAAGCTGGTGCTGGGCTCTGTGACGCCTGCACCCAGCACGCCATTACTCGGCTCGTCCCAGCTCCTGTGGATGCTGGAGGGCTCAGAGTCAGAGAAGCCCATCTGGTCTCCAAAGAAGCTATGGAACGACATTTTAGGCTCCAGAGCGGGCTGGCAAACATACACCGACTCGTCCTGGCTCATGAGCGCCCCTAGAAGAGAGCCGGGGTCCAGACCATCCCTCACTAGCCTTTCAGTCCGGCTCTTCTTTGACTTACTGCCATTTTTCTCATGACTTCCGTCTCTGAAGGCTGCTATGGGATGGTTGGACTGGTAGAGCAGGGCCTCACCTGTGGCATAGGTAAAGGGTAGATGCATGGAGCGCTTACGCAAGTGTTCTCCTCCCTCTTCGTCCCTGTAAACACAGAAAACATGATTACTGTCTGGAAACCTGACCATGGCAGTTTATTTGCAAAGCATCAAAGTTGCAAGCTTTGTCTCTAGCAGAGGTGGTACTTGTTTCTTACCCAATTATCCATGATTGCAGGCGTCTTAAGCCCAGTTCAGACCAAAGATTTGCAACGAGACAAGTTGAAACAGGCAAATACTTGCAATGTGCTGTTCTGCAACGTTCTATAAACCTGCCAGTTCACACCAATGCAACTAGATGAGACGGTGTATCATCTCTATGCAACAACTCTCTGTACTTCTGTTCTGATTTGCAGCTTTTCAGACTTATTTTGTGGCTGAATATTATTTGTAGCTTTTGGCCAGTTCACACGTTCTAAAACGGGTTCATCTCGTTGCGAATCACTGGTCTGAACTGGGCTTTATAAGTGTCATGGGATAACAAGTGGGATCTATACGTGCCTCCATACATAGGATAAAAAATTCCCTGAGTAAACCAGATTAAAACATGTGAATTTATAATTTATCCACACATAACCTTTGATATTATATTAAAATTCTATTGCTCATCTTTAAATACATCTGGTACATTTAGTTGATATACAACTGCACATAAAATGACAGTAAAACATACAGGAGGGGCCTCTGGGTGGCGATGATGTAGTCTGGTTTGCCGTTCTTGTACACCAGCCTGGCGTTGGCCTGGACCCATTTCCAGCGGTTCTCCTTTGTGAGGAGCCTGAACACAGTCAGACCACTTTCTCCAGTCTTCATCACTGCGAATATGGAACACAATGATGAGTAGACCAGTACTGCATACTGGTTAAATCAATCATATCCATAGTAAATGTCAGTGTCTTTTATGCAAGTTTAAAAAACATGCTTCCCCAGTGTTTACTGGCTGATGAAAAAGACTCTTTGCCAACTCCGCCCTAACCACGCCCCCTAACTATGACTGGACACTGACTGTATCTATACTATAATGTTCGGCTGAAGGGAGCAGATCCATTGGCTCCTCTGTGCAGGAGTTCTACTTGCTTTTACATCTATATTAAACCGCACTGAGGAGAGAGCGGTCAGTAACACATCTGACCTCTGAAGTGTTTATGTGTTTGGTGCTTCTGTATGGATCATCTCTGATGCTTTGCTCATGCAGTGGATTTGTGGGCCCTATCCTCTGCTCTGGCAGCTCTGCAGCTTTGCTCAATCTGCTCCGTAATCCAGCGGGATTACTTGCGAAAGCTGTCTGAACTCTCTGACCAGGTTAGACCAGACCTCCTCACCTTTTTTTTTTTGATGGGACTAAATCTAAAATGGCAAATATGTCTCTGAGATAAACATGATGGATGAATTCTTATCAGATACTCTCTTCAGTATAAAACAGCTTCAGACTACATAACAACCATATCTTTTGGGCCAATTCAAGCTGTGTTCTTAATCAGCCAACTTTATATAAGGCTGCAGTACAGAGGCATATGTTTTAGGGGCCATGAAGTTTTTTTTCACAACAAATCCAATTCACGATTTAAATCGTTTTTTTCCCCTCCTAGTTAAAAAAAATACATATTTGCAGCCTGGTAGCACATACCTGAGGTCCAAAACTTTCAGTATCTGAATAAACCCCGGCTTTTCCACGGTAGCCTAAATATGGGCACCATATCTCTTGTAATATACATGGCAACTGCATCTGTGATCGCTTTCCACCGGACCCCTTTCTTATCATACGGCAGTGTTTCCCCTACTATCATATTGGAATGACATCACAACAGAAGTCATTTAAGGTTACCTTTCCTATAGAACAGGTCTGTACCTTGTCCTTTTATTAAACAAACTAAATAGCCTTATGTTACAGGCTGAGCCTGATGTGTCTGGCTTGTGTATGTGTGTGGCTTGTGTGTGTGTGTGTGTGTGTGTGTGTGTGGAGCTGTATATGTGTGTAGTTGATGTAGGAGGTATGAGACGTTGTGTGCCGGGTGTGGTGTGTGACATCAGACGGATGCGCCCCAGGAAGAAAGTGAGGCATGTGCTATGTTGTTTATATCGAGCAGCCACAGTGAAGAAGCCTACGCAGTTCTGCATGCTGTTTTTGACTTATTTTCCTCTATGTAAAAGTCAGACACTGATGAGAGAGACTGTGCATCATCCCTGCAGTGCTGAAAATAAAGTGCCGTTCTTCAACGCAGACGAAGTCCCGTTGTTTATGTGTTGTTGCCACAACGAGCTAACACAAGCTAAAGGATCTAAAGTCTGCCAGCTTGGCGTTGGTAACACTTATTTATCTTATTTACACAACGGCATGTCATTTCTGTCCCTACACGGAGTTCGGCCCTGATGCGCACACACACAGACACAGGTGAGCGCACACACACAGACAGACACAGGTGAGCACACACACACAGGCAGACACAGGTGAGCACACAAAAGCGCTGAAGAACTCGTTCCCTTTCTTGAGAACGAGTTCTTCAGCGCTTGCTGCCATGTTGTTTGTGTATCAAGCGCATGAGGGGGAGGGGTGAGTCCACTCTGAACCTCTGAGCCCAGCGTGGAGTGGCGGATTTTAAATAGAAACTCGATTTTCATTCAAACAAATCGGCCTAAACTACAAATTCGAATTAATCGATAAAATAGATTTATTGCCCAGCCCTAGTATAAAGTCTGTTAAACTGCTAATTGTGGAAAAGCTATGTGTGTCTATTCCAAGCGGCAACCTCCAGGGCTTAAAAATGAAGCCAAAAAGGAAGTGCCAAAAACTGCAGTTCCTTGAATGGCCACTTGAGGCGAGTCAATCATAGCAGACCTCCATGTTAAAACGTCCAACTTTACAGCTGAATTAAACATGTTTATGGCCTAGTTCAAAACAGGGGGTGAATTTTTATATTACTCACTCATTTAAATGTCATGAGGGCTTAAAAGTTATTGCATAACCAACGGCATGGCTGCTTTGAGTGACAGGTGGATGATGTCACTGGCCACTAGCTATCTGCTCAGAATCATCTCTGCTAGTCAATGAAGTTGACCTTTCGGCTTTGTTTGTGGTGTTGGTGTTGGTGCCTTTTGGGGGGTTTTCATGCAAATATCGGAAAATAATATGGATTGCAGTGCAGTTAACAGACTGTCCAAGAAATCTGTCCTCCATTTTGTTTCAGTGAGCTTGTTAACTAGCTAATTAACCATCTCATGAATTAGGCTTGGGTTAGCCCAGCTGTGCTAACAATGTTAACAGGAGCATACGCTGGCCACAGTTACTACACCAGTATGTCTGGAAGAATTTAGGGTGATAATACAGTATTTTTGAACAAAAGGTATCCCCATGAGGTTGGAAAATAAAGGTCCACCAAGTTAGTTAGCTAATGCTATGCAATGCTAACATAAAACTGGCCATACTATTGCTAATGTAACATTAATTGGACTTGGCTAGGTATGAAAACAGGGCTGAGCATTCGATTGATCTGTCAGTGGTGGTTGTGGTGGTGTCATTCATGACTTTTGGAAGTCAACCAACAGTGATGGCAACAAGACAGGGAAGCTGTTACAGCGTTGCGAAGGGAGGCCAGTTGTCTCCTGTAGGTGGTGTGGTGGCACAAAAATGACAATAAAAGTAAAGGCATAAAAAACCCTCCAAAATACTTCAAGAAGGTCAAGTGATATTGCGTGAAGTCTTGAAATGATCCATATCAAAGTGTTTGGAGAAACCCAGGAAATAGCGGCATCATCTAAAGGACTAAAAGGAGAAAGCCGCAGTGACAAGTACAGGGACGTTCCCCCTTTAAAATCGGTCTTAAATTTATGTTGGTGAAAGCTTTTATTGCCATACTCTTATATGATTATGTTCAGTTTACATGTCTTTTTTGGGGGCTTTTTATGCTGTTATTAGTATCAGTAGAGAGAAGAAAGGAAATGTGGGAAACAGAGATGCAACAACGTTTCCCAGCCAGACTTAAACTGCACATGTTGTGGTTTATGGCCAGTGTCTTAAACCACAGTGGTACACAAACACAACTTACTTCTGACGTGATTCTCTGCGCAGTACAACATATCTGCTGCATGGATGAACTGATACCCGGATCCTCGTACCCGCAGTTCAGCCTCTGTGTACCCCAGCACGATCTTCCCCCTGCACAAAAACGACCATAATTAACTTTCAAAACATTGCTCATGGCACACACCACGTCTTACATTCACAGCTAGTGAAAGATCTTCAAAGTCCTGCAACAAACACACAGGAGAATAAAAACACACATGCTGTTTTATTCTCACAACAATCATATAATAAAAATGACAACACTTTAAGACATATGACATGTTTATGCCAGGATCCTTACTTTGCGTCACAGGCCAGCGGCGTGAAGTCCAGCTTGTGTTTAGTTCTGAAGATCATGTTCTTGGTCCTGATCTCCAGGATGGACGGGGGCTGCAGAGGAGTCGCGATGGCGAACAGGGCGAGCTGAGACGGGGCCTTTCCTCCGTTTTCTTGCCGCTGGTTCTGTCCGTGCAGAAACTTAAGTCTGCCCTGGATGTTCAAAGCCTGGAGAGAAAGGAAATAAATCCTTCAAATGAGTTGATATCTGAGTGCTTTTCTCCTTTTCCATTGCCAGGAGACCAGAGCCGTTCACACCGCTCTGCAGTAGATGACTATGTCCTTCTGTTTCTCTCTCTCTCTTTTTTTTTTTTACTGGTGTTTCATGTTCGCACAGATGGCCTGAATCCAAATGTCCACTCTCTGGACCTGCAGACTGAGCCCTCGCAAACTTCAGTTGTACATAGTGTGACATATTTAGTGTCATCACGTAAAAGTCTGCGAGGGCAGAGACTGCAGGCAGCTGATAGTCAGCCCTCAAGACTTTTTTACATGTTGCCGTGGAAACTTTCAACTATCTCCGCTGTCATATTCCTATATATGTCATATAAGCTGATGAACAATACTTAACTCATCTGTCCCTATAGATAACAAGATATAAATCCCATGTGTAGCCTTTTTTGTGAATAAAAATGTATTAATACATCTCTATATAAGGCTGCACACGTTCAAAAACAGTTGAACGTGTTCAAAAACGAATTTCTGTATCATGATGTGGTTGAATATTATTTCTGGCCTAACTATCAATAACTAGAAGTCTGCAGAAAGACCACTTGAGGCCCCTCGTGGACTGGATGAATTGTGGATTTGGACAGCACTAAGCACTCCAAGACTTCCCTGGCATGCACCCGCAAAGTCTGCGAGGCTGCGAGTGTGGTAAAGTCTGGACATTTGAGTTCAGCCATGGATTACCGAACGGGCAAGGGCCCAGAGTGTCAGGGGCTGCCTTGGCCTTGGCTGGAGCCTCTAAATACCCAGGACTAGTGCGGAATTATTTGTCCTGAAGTGAATGCAGATTGTCACCTTTCCCATTGAATAAAAAAGCAAATTCTGACTGGGTGGATTTTTTTTTGATCCAGTGAGAACAGGGCATTAGAACCTGTTTTCTATTATCTATAAGAGCTACATATGTCTTATTTATCTTGCACAAAAAGGAGGAAACATTTTTAGGGAAAACAATTGGCTGTAAGTGGGAGTTATCAGGCAGGACAGAGACGCTACATGTGCGGAAATGGTGAGACATCTCGTAGGAGTGGACTTAACTGTCCCACACAGACCTCTACTTGCAGCAGACAAGTACGAGTCAAGTCAAAAGCATCAGCTCTGGCAAAAAATGCACCTGAAAACTGCAGATTTTCTGTCTTTTGTTTGAGCATATAACCTACCAGAAAGCCAGAGGAGTTGTCCAGTAGGCAGCGAAAGCGACACACAAAGCTCCTCTCCAGGAAGGATGAGTTCTCTGGGGGAAGCTGTTCAGGGTTGTAGGTGACCACAGATGAGCTGCTGTCTGGTTCCATCTCTGAAATGACAAATAATATGAGCTGATGTCAGTGACAATGAACAAAAAATATAGTCAGTTTAACTTGACAATTTTGGCGTTCAAAGCCCAGTGAAGTTACAGCCCTCCTCAGCTTTGTATTGCTCTGTATTTGCATTTCAAAGCCAGGCTGTATTTGTATTTCTTCACAAAATGACACCCAGCTCACATATTGAGTTTCATCATAGAACACCTCTATAGTCGGAAGCTTTAATAATGTCACAGATGTGAAAATTAAGAGCACATTTTTAAGAGTGAACACCTCCTGTTGCCCTCTACACTGATTCCTGAGCTGCACTATACTGTCTCATATCATCAGCTGCACATAAGTAATGAAGCCAACAGCTATCTGTGTCTTAACACACCAAGTGACGGCATGTGCTGCAGGTCGAGGGGGGAAGAGTGTAAACGGCTTCTCAGTGCAGGAGTGGGTTAGCTGTGTCAGAGCTGTGGGTCTTAGCCTAAACACATTGCTCAGAACCAAAGCACAGACATAAGCATCTTAAAACCCAAATACAGAAATGGGACCACTTCACCTCCTAAGCCACGGTGAAGATTACAGGGTCATGTGACTTGACCTGAGGATGGTCTTATAGCTTAATGCCTAAAACTCTGTGTACTTAACCGTCTCATATTGATGTCCAAATGTGTGTGTTCACACAGGCTGGGGGCTGCAGCAGAGTGCTGCACACTTAGCACTTGTCTAAAAAAGATAAATTCTGAGGTTTAATGAATGTGAACAGACATGCTTCCTAAAAATACATTTAAACCCATTGAAACTAATGGAGATTGGCTCCTCAAGTGTTGTATGATTAATTACAGTTCTGTGTAAAAAAGGACTATCAAACTATCGAACTACTATCAACGAGCTAATTTTGACCAAAATAAGTGAAAAAATAAAAATCTTTCCAGAGCCACAAAACATATTTGAGCTTTATATGAAGGTAACACAGCCTATTAAGTCTAAATTACTCTATCAACATTATTAATACATCTAAATGAGCATTTATCAATATGTTTTACCACAAGATGGCCACTCTGCAGTTGGCTATTTAGGATTATTCGGTACTTTAACTTTGCAGCGTTGGCGGTGAAAGCAAACAAACCTGTCCACACCCTATTAAATAATGTGTTTTCCTTCAAGACTTTTCCTTTTTTGGATTTCGAATACATTCCTGGCCTAGCCAGGAAGACTCAAGACAAGCTACTGCTACTGAGGTTTGGCGAAATTTAGAGGAAAGGATGCACATTTTAGTTGATGAAATGTAAAAACATTTCTCTTATTTGGTGTAAAGGCCACACATTTTTACAGTTGGACAATGTAAGAACTTCTTAAGGTTTACAATGATGATAAGTGAAAATTAAAAGGTTAAAAAATAACCGTTATTCATTTACATAAGTTTTTCTTAAAGCCTAAGGGAGCAGCTGAAGAGGGGGGAAAGAGCTGCATGTGGCTCTGGAGCTGCAGGTGCCTACCCGTTTTAGGGCATAGGGTTGCAACGGTATGAGATTTTCACCATCTCAGAAAATATCACGGTTTCACAGTATTACACAATTTATACAGTTATCCCTCAGAATGACCCTTAAAGGAATAAAAACAGAAGGTTTTGGTTTTATTACTATAACTGAAACCTGAAGCCATTTTTTGATGGAAGTTGTGTAAAAAGTCTCCTCTTCAAAAATAACTAAAATAGAACGGAGATTCTCCGTCAAGTTGCATTTTTTTCCCCAAGCAAATGTACACAGTATGATGACCGTCAACTTTTATATCACAGTATACCTTGAAACTGATATATCGCTGCATCCCTATCAGCAGAATCTCTACAATTAAAAAACAAACAAAAAAACAGTAGTCCCATGTACCCAAAGACTAAACATGGTATGATAATAAAGAGGCTTTATCTCAGAAACTACAGGGAGCACAATTATGTGTTTAGTACCTTTGAACTTATAACAAGTTGAATATCAAAGCATTTTTGTCATTTGTTAAGAAAATGCTAACATTGATCATTGATAAAGTGTGATTTATCATCTGAACTTAAATTAAAAAAACAAAAACAAAAACAAAAAAAAGTACAAGTTCATACTGGAAGAACTAATGGACAAACTTAGTCCTTGCCAGATTTCAAGACTTTGGACTGATGTTTTTTAGACTTTTTGTGCCCTAGACACACCTGCATTTATATCTGTGCACAACAGCTTCTATAATGTGTGTTCTATAACTGCTCTTATCACAACATAAGACAATAAAAAGAAGATTATAGCTGCTGTGCAGTGATGGGTCAGGTCCGGGCATTTTTAGACAATTCTGAGCAACCTCTGGAACCTAAGACGGTCAACAGTGGCTTCACAAACTGAGTAAGCCATTCACTGTTGTGTAGGAAAGCAGCCAACCGTGCATGGAAAGGCAGATTTGAAACCACTGTAAAAAATTCAGTCATTGAGACAAAAATCTGAAAATACACATATTGCATCTAGACAGCATGGAGATGTTGGTAATTTATTTGTAACAATGATGGATTTGCTCCATAAGTGAAAAACTGATGTTTAAAATTGCCATTTTTACATTGACTCCAATTGTTGACATTAGAGCAAAATTCAAAATGCTGTCAAAAATTCAGTTTTTGAGATAAAATTCTGAAATTTGCCACACATCATCTACCATGACTCTAGAATTTTGTCATTTTTTTTCATGAACATTGAAGATTTATTTAGCAAGAATTTGCATGTATATGTTTACAGTACCGTTTACAGTCAAACATTTTGATGCGCTGTAGGCTCAATTTTTGATAAATCAAAAATCTGAGAAACATAGTTTTTGTAGGACAGTCTGAAGATGCTCTGTAGCAAGTTTAGTGTCAAGTGAGCAAAATTTGTGGGAGGAGATTTTAGGTTTAAGAATTTTTACAGTTTTTGAGAAAACAGAGTGATGAACTTCATAATTTTTAATAGGTTTAAATGTACAAAAGTTTGGTTGATTTGTTATGAATTTTCAAAGTTTTGAACTTTAGACGCTTGCTGTAGCGCCACCATCAGGACTATTGGCTTGAGTTTACAGCTGAGGATATCTGGCATGAGACTGGACCTTTGTGCAAAGTTTGGTGAGTTTTCACCCATGGGAAGTATGATTTCCTCGGAAGAAGAAGAAGAAAGAAGAAAGAAGAAGAATACCTAGGATTACAATAGTGACCCTAAAAAAACAAGACAGGTAGCTTTAGTGATAGTGTCTACTGACAATTTTTTGTCTTTTCTTTTAGTGGTAGGTCTTCTTTGTTGGTGCTTTGTTGTAATTTGCTCCGTACAAACTAACGACTTTTGGCTTCTAGATGTTTTCATCCCTCACACTCGCTGCCAATCAGGGCTTTTGATGTGTCACACACTTATAAATCCCATGCTGAACGGCAAGAGATAGGTTCCCCATGATGTTTCTTTTAAATTAAATTAAATTACATTTTTTAGCTAGTTTGCCTCTTTATTAGGAAATGGGTATGCACAACATACTGATACAGTGAATGAAAAATTCATTCATCACTTTTTGTACAGGCCCAGTTGAATATTGCAATAACAATGTGTGGTTATCACAGAATCCTACAGCACATCTGGACTGGCATCACAGCACATCATTTGAGAACCACTGCTTTAGACCAGTTAGAAGAAATGTTTTGGCATTTTTCTTGTCATACTATCACATACTGGTTTATCTTTGGTAGACCCTTGGGATGTATGGCTACGAGGTCATGCAGAAAATATGTCACCAAACCCTGAGTTTGTTATTAAGTTGCAATAAATATCAGGTATACAGTAACCTTATAGGCTATGCAAAGAGAAGAGTCAATGCATAATCATTTAATACCTGCAAAAGTTGTTATGCCCAATTTTCACTCCGAGCCACGGTCACACAAACTTTGCTGCTTCATTATATTGAAAAAAAATAAACTTGATGCAAATATGATAATGCCTTGGTCTGGTGTGTTGTATGTTTCTTGTGTTTGCCCTTTACATATGGCTTTCAGTTTAGAAACTTAATGACAGACTCATGTATGAGGAGAGAGTGATCACCTTGGGGGGAGTCCTGGGTGATGGCAGGTGCAGAAGCAGGGGGAGGATTCAAAGCCCAGTGCAAGTTTCTCCTGAGCTCCTGCTGGTCCTCCGTATGGACCAGTTCATACACACTCTGGTGCATGACATCCGTCTGAGGGGAAAATAAAGAGAGGAGGAATCAGCTTACACCAAAATAAAACAAGTTACGTATGATTAGAGACCTGCAGGATGTTTTAAAATTACACACGTAATCTAAACCCATGTCAAAAAAATTCAATTCAAAATTCAAAACAGTGTGTCTGAGAAAACTTTTTCCCTGTTGTGTGTACTTCTTCGAAACACAAGTGCACACAGCTGCCCAAAGACTCTCAGTGTGTGCTGCTATCTTGAGCTGTGGGGCAGAGACGTGTTGTTCACTGCCGCCCACTGCTGTGTCTGGTGGTTTGTACTAAAGGCCAAGCTATAAATAGGTCAGGTCTTTTTGCTGTTGTTTGAGCGTCTGACTCTGCACCACACAGGGAGCACACCAATGGATCAAACAAGACCCCCGCACCGCTCCCTGCAGATGCTGCACGCAAGCCATCCATCCAGACCCATCTGTCGGCGTCTGGATGTTTAATATGGTCAAATCTGTCCCTCTATATTTGCACCTTGCTGTGTCTAACTATGCTCCTGAAAATGAAGAATGATGGAGGTAAATCCTGGCTATATTAGATGATTAACATGATGGGTTAAAATATAGATTCATGCATCCAAATCTCAAATGTTTGTTTTCAATTAGACTCTAAAGTACAAACCTCAAGCGTGTGTGTGTCCAAAGCAGTGGGTGTGGTTACAGCACCTACAAGATCTTGTCTACAGGCTGTTGTCTTCTACCACCAGCAACTAAATGCTGGAATGCTGGGACAATTACCCGGTTGTCTGATTTTTAAAGGGAGTCTCTTGAGTGACAACTACATGGGCATGAAGGTGGACATGTAGTAGAAAATTTGGCATAATTATTGATCAGACATTAACTTTTAATGAAAACTCAGACAGCATTTTTAAGAGAGCCAATCAGCGCCTGTTTTTAATCAGGACGCTGAAGAGCTTCAGTGTTAGCCAGCACATAGTGGAAACAGCATACAGAAGTCTGGTTGAAAGCATTTTATCATTTAACATTACAGCATGGTAGAGCAACCTGAGGGCAAAGAGCAAAAACAAGCTCTCCAAGATCGTCAGCACTGCAGGGAAGGTGATCGCCAAGTCACAGAAACAAGTCAGCAATATATTTGATAGTGCTGCTCCCATCTGGGAGTCAATTAAGGGTCCCAAGAACAAGCCAGAACATATTATAGAGGTCCTTTATTCCCTATACCATACAGACAGTGAACACAGAATGACTCTATCAGGGAACATCACTTTTTGAATTTTCTAAACATTTCTAAAATATTTTCACCAGCCAAACATTACTAAACATGCTCTTCCCAGGCATTTATAGATAAACAAACTGCTTGCACTTGCTAACTTTACTCACTAAGACTAGCTGCATATGCTATACATATCTCGTCAGTCATCCCCTGCCCAAGTGGATTAATGGCCCAACACAGTGGACGGATATTGCCCAACAAGAAATCTATATGTGCTATGCTGTACTGTAGCATAAATATAAGGTATACAACTTGTATTTAAGATAAATATTACGGATGCAATTTGTGCTTGAGGTAAATACTTGGGCTACAACTCGCACTTATATACTACTGGTGCAACTTGTACTTAAGATAAATATTGGGGCTACAACTTGTACTTAAGATGAATATAATGGCTACAACTTGTAGTTAAGATAAATATTGGGGCTACAACTTGTACTTAAGATGAATATAATGGCTACAACTTGTAGTTAAGATAAATATTGGGGCTACAACTTGTACTTAAGATAAATATTGGGGCTACTACTTGTACTTAAGATGAATATTGGGGTTACAACTTGTACTTAAGATGAATATAATGGCTACAACTTGTATTTAAGATAAATATTGGGGCTACAACTTGTACTTAAGATCAATATTGTGGCTACTACTTGCACTTAAGATAAATATTGGGGCTACAACTTGTACTTAAGATGAATATAATGGCTACAACTTGTACTTAAGATAAATATTGGGGCTACAACTTGTACTTAAGATAAATATTGGGGCTACAACTTGTACTTAAGATGAATATAATGGCTACAACTTGTACTTAAGATAAATATTGGGGCTACAACTTGTACTTAAGATAAATATTGGGGCTACAACTTGTACTTAAGATGAATATAATGGCTACAACTTGTACTTAAGATAAATATTGGGGCTACAACTTGTACTTAAGATAAATATTGGGGCTACAACTTGTACTTAAGATGAATATAATGGCTACAACTTGTACTTAAGATAAATATTGGGGCTACAACTTGTACTTAAGATAAATATTGGGGCTACAATTTGCACTTAAGATGAATATAATGGCTACAACTTGTACTTAAGATAAATATTGGGGCTACAACTTGTACTTAAGATAAATATTAGGGCTACAATTTGCACTTAAGATGAATATAATGGCTACTACTTGCACTTAAGATAAATATTGGGGCTACAACTTGTACTTAAGATGAATATAATGGCTACAACTTGTACTTAAGATAAATATTGGGGCTACAACTTGTACTTAAGATAAATATTGGGGCTACAACTTGTACTTAAGATGAATATAATGGCTACAACTTGTATTTAAGATAAATATTGGGGCTACAACTTGTACTTAAGATAAATATTGGGGCTACAATTTGCACTTAAGATGAATATAATGGCTACAACTTGTACTTAAGATAAATATTGGGGCTACAACTTGTACTTAAGATAAATATTAGGGCTACAATTTGCACTTAAGATGAATATAATGGCTACTACTTGCACTTAAGATAAATATTGGGGCTACAACTTGTACTTAAGATGAATATAATGGCTACAACTTGTACTTAAGATAAATATTGGGGCTACAACTTGTACTTAAGATAAATATTGGGGCTAGAACTTGTACTTAAGATGATATAATGGCTACAACTTGTATATAGGATAAATATTGGGGCTACAACTTGTACTTAAGATGAATATAATGGCTACAACTTGTACTTAAGATAAATATTGGGGCTACAATTTGCACTTAAGATGAATATAATGGCTACTACTTGCACTTAAGATAAATATTGGGGCTACAACTTGTACTTAAGATCAATATAATGGCTACTACTTGCACTTAAGATAAATATTGGGGCTACAACTTGTACTTAAGATGAATATAATGGCTACAACTTGTACTTAAGATAAATATTGGGGCTACTACTTGTACTTAAGATAAATATTGGGGCTACTACTTGCACTTAAGATAAATATTGGGGCTACAACTTGTACTTAAGATGAATTTAATGGCTACAACTTGTACTTAAGATAAATATTGGGGCTACTACTTGTACTTAAGATAAATATAATGGCTACAACTTGTACTTAAGATGAATATACAGTAATGGCTACTACTTGTACTTAAGATAAATATTGAGGCTACAACTTGTACTTAAGATAAATAAAAAGGCTACAACTTGTACTTAAGATGAATATAATGGCTACAACTTGTACTTAAGATAAATATTAGGGCTACAACTTGTACTTAAGGTAAATATTAAGGGTGCAACTTGTACTTAAGGTAAATATTAAGGGCACAACTTGTACTTAAGATAAATATTAAGGGTGCAAATTGCACTTACGATGTCAGATTTTCTCGTCTTCACCACATTAGGATGATAGGATTTTTCCCTAATATCAAGTCAGAGGTATAGAAAAGAGTTGCAGTGATACTGTACCTGGTGGAAGCCCAGGTAGTCCTGGATGGTGTGAGAGGAGTAGAAGATGGTCCCGCTGGCTGTGACAACCATGACAAACCCGTTGAGAGCCTATGAAACAAAGGATGCAGAGACACAGACTGTTAGCAGAGACATCTCATTGTGTGAGAGCTTTCAGTATGAAAATGGAGAACCACACTGTCACCGCCAAGACTTCACCTGTGAAATGTTGTTGACAGTAATGCTGTGAATGACCAAAATATTGTATTCAAAAGGGGGTGTTTGCAAGTGGTACTGACTGATGCAGGTCATTTTAGGTTCTCTTAACAGGTCCAGCTCTGTTTAAGCCCCCTGGACTACCATCTATATGCTCTGCACTGCCATGTTGAGGGATGAAAATGAATATTATTTTTGCGCCTGGGTTTAAAGAAGCATGTAGGCAGAATAAATGTGGACCTTTGTCAACAAACATATGTGAAGCATATGGCATACATATATAATGTGAACTCCTTTGCCTCTATAACATTTTTATTGCTTTGAATTATTTATTTTTTTCTATTTCTGTAAAAGGAAGGAAAAAAGTTTCCTCCATTTGTTCACCACAGCTGCAGTGTGGATGTTCATGCTTATAATATCTGAGTGGATCAGCAGTACCACAGGAAAATAACTGCTCGGATCACAAATGGAAGCACAGGAGGAGAGTATTAAAGGAAAATTAGGAAGCTTTCTGTTTGTTTTGGTGTGAGCTGCAGAGTGTTGGAGATATCAGCTGTAGAGATGTCTGCCTTCTCTCCAATATAATGGAACTAGATGGCACTCAGCTTGTGNTGTTTTGGTGTGAGCTGCAGAGTGTTGGAGATATCAGCTGTAGAGATGTCTGCCTTCTCTCCAATATAATGGAACTAGATGGCACTCAGCTTGTGATGCTCAAAGTGCCAAAAAAATACATTTGAAAAAGTCAACATCAATGTCTCTTTCCAAGAAATCATGACCTGGTTACTCCAGTGTACTGGAGTATTGAACTATTTTCATCCTGCCAAGCTAAACTTGCCTACCCTATCACCATACAGAAGGAGGCATACATTTACTCTTCGACAAGAGGCTTGTGCTCAATAAATAACCAGATGTAAGTATTAATAGGAGGCTCCCCCGCAGTTTTCAGAAGGCAGTATTGGACCTCTCCATTTTTTTATTTTTTTATTTTTTACAGTTTTTACAACTAGAATTCTGTGTCACCATCAAACAGCAGCAGGCAGACGGCAACTGCCAAGAGAAAAACGATGAGGATAACGTTATTTACTCACAAATAAATCAGCAGTGTGGAAATATTTTCGATTTCAGAGAAAATAAGAGTCAACAGACAGAGCACATGCATAATGCAAACAATAACGTTATGAGATCAAAAATGACATAACATTACCTGCCTGCCTGACATCTTTCTCAGCTAACTTCTTGCATCAACACAGCAACTGCCTAATTAATTAATATTTGACTGAGAAAAACGTGCATGCAGGCTGAAATCCAACCATGCTGTTCTGTCAGGAGATGGCAGTGACTTAAGTGAGAAAAAGTAGAAATAATACTTGTAATTTGTTAAGCTATGAGTAAAGGAAAAAAGTCTGCTAGCTGCTAGGCTAATCTATGCAATATAAACATGCTAAAGCTAATACTGGGTCACTAGCAAAATACAATGTTTTGTCTGTAAACCTCAACAGTTATTACTGAGCTAAATTTGATCACTTTGTTATATGACCTTGTTGCTAATCCATGTTTTATGGCAGTTTGCCCTCAGGGCTTTAAGACAGATAGACCTGTTTCGAATCAATTTAAAGTAAACTTTACTACAATAAAGTTGTTACAATTATTTACATTATTTGTGTTTTTTTTTAATCTTTTATGGCCAAAAGCAAAAAACAAAAGATGTGGCAGTTTCTTCTGTGATGGATTGTAATAAATGGGCATATGATACTGTCTCATATCAATCACAGGCCCCTGAATCACATCAAATTAAAATTGTGGTAGACTTTGTAATATCAACAAATACCTTATGGTTGTCCAAAGAATTGATATAATTCAATTCAAATAAACACAAGAAGTTTGTGCTCTTAAAAAAAAAAAAAAAAAAAAAGGATCAGCACTCAGTGAATAACCTCCTAAGCCCTACGATAAGCTATTATGGCAAGGCTTAACTATACAGACCAGTGAGCAGTGATAACTAACATGTCTTTGGGGTCATCGGGTGGGAACCTCCTTTCACCGGTGTTTCGTCTAGTTGGTCCCATGACACCTCCAGGAGGCTAGACAGTGATCTCTGGCGTCCCAGAGACACTCCCCTAATGCCAGGTCTCACTGCTCCCCACACTAACCGAACAACCTCCTTTACCTTACCTATACTACCACAGAGGAGGTAGACCCAGGGAAGGAAGCCTTGTTAGGCTATCACACTCCCCCGCCGGGTTAGGCTGTACATATATTGTACAGATATTGTACCGTAATGAAATACCCCTATACAACATGATATTAAAAAGAAGATATGGAAGTTGTAATGGTGTTTGTATCTCACAGGTTGTAGGAAATACCATAGAGAATAAATGGAGAGAATCATCCAGAGTGGTTTTATTAGCTGCTATCAGCACATCTGTAGCTTGCTCTGTAACCTTAAATAGCTCTGTGGCACTAGGTGAGCTAACAGTAGATACACACTTCCATCTGTGCAGTGACACTGTTGGCAGGTGTAGTTTGGTAGAAAGGAAATAGATTTCTGTCTCTGCTCACACTAAGTCTGTGGATTACCTTGAGTAACCAGGTCATGATTTCTGGAAAGAGACATTGCTGTTGAGTGGTACTTTTTTGGTACTTTGAGCACCGCAAGCCGAGAGCCATTGAGTTCATCTCTATCTCCAACACCCATCAACTCACACCAAGACAATCCAGACTGATAAACAGCAGCACAGGTAAGAGGGAAATTCTGACTTAGAGGTGAACTATCCCTTTAAGTGAAATGGAGCACATTCATTGTTTCTCTTCAAAGGGGAACAGCTGGTCCAACATTTCCACCTCACTAAACGCACACGTGCCCTCCCCCGGTGTGCTAACGTTTCATAAACAAACACTCAAACAAACATGCACCAACAAACACAACTGTCCTCACAGCGCCACAAACATCCGCATAAGCAGAGTCATCTCTTTCCTAAATCAGCCCGCAGGCTGCTGCGATGACTAATGCTGGAGATGTTATTCTTTCTGATACTACACCACTGATTCACCACAATTATCTGCCGCACTTCCTCCACAGTAAACACAAACACCCAAATGTCAAGGCTGAGCGTTTCATACAAACAGCCACCAAGCGAGAGCGAAATCATGTTTCGTGATATGATGGCTCCAGTTTTTCAGTTACTCCTGTGACACTGAGCCTGAAATAATTTAACTTCTTATGTAATTTCCTAAACTGTTTGTTCAAAAATAGGACAATTGCGAAATGCTCTGTTGCTGCTGGAGTCTGATTTGATGCGAACGACTGTGTGAGCTGCCAGAAATGAGGCCACACCTTTAATACCAGATAGTCTACTCATGTGCACTCATTAACCTCCCAGCTGCAAATGATTTAATTCAGTCATGAGTGTGAACCAAAGAAGAGCGATGGCTCCCAAATGCTACGTTAAGATAAGAAAATATAAAGAAGTAAAGGTTGGTCTGCATCGTCAGAGCAGGTTGTTATCAGTTAAAGTCAGAAATAACCAAATCTGTGTGTGTTTATTTTCCGACCAAAACGTAAAAGCACAATTAACACATTCTGCCATGTTTCCTCCATTTTCTGCGTCTGAATAATTGATTGGCTCACAGCTCCTCTATAATTCACCAGCGTCTGATGTGAAGAACAGCAAAGAAACCGGCTCAGACTTAGGGCTTCAGAAATAAACCTCACATTCCTCAGCCTGTGAACCGCTCGCCATCCATCTCCCCTCTCGTCCCGACGATTAGGAGGAGAGAGAAGAGGAGGAGGAAGAAGAGGCCCCCTGTGGAACACTCACTCGCTTTCTCTCCAAATGAGCTTTCATTTCTCATTACCAACAAGCTGGGGAAATGTAGGCTTATCATAATAATGAAACCTCCCTGGTAGGGTCGGGGTACGGCGGGCAGGCTGTTTCCTCTCCTCTCCTGGAATGCCAGAGTGATGCACATTGGGAGGAACTGGACTGGAAAATCAATGACTCCGGCGGATCCCAAAAAGATCTGGCAGCCAACGAGCTCGCTCTCCACTCAATCACACATACAGTGCAGAGGGCACATAACCGCCGTGAACCAGGAGACACTGTTTTTCTGGAAAACAGGTCTGTTGATGGCCTTTTCTTAAAAAGCTGAACTGTGACCTCAAAGTGCAGCGAAATGCTTCAGATTTTCAAACAAAGAAATGTTGTGTTTTACCACTGACAGTTATTTGGATTTTATTTTCAGCAAATTTTGTAATATACCAAAGTTCTGGTGCTGCGCCCGGTGGATCAGATTCAGCCTAGTCCGGGCCACATTATTTTGCTGATGATAAATGATATAATAATTTTATTTTCCTAAACTTTATGCCTTGTTTTTGCACACTCACCCACCTTTGTACATACTCCTATTTGGTTAAGTAAAGATGCCATGACATGACCCAACAGTGTAAGCATAGCCACAGCTGACACTATTTCAGTGTGTTCTCGGTTTATTAAAGTTAATTCTAATGTTTGGGTCATCTAAAAAAGTCTTGTTCAGCATTTGGTTGTACTAAAAGACCCTCTGCAAGGTCAGACACTCAGTTTTTTCCAGTATATACATGTTGTTTTAATGGTTTAAAACCTGTTTTTTGCTAGCCAAAATTAACATTAGCATTTTCACATTGAACCACAGTTATAAAATGCACCATGCCAACCAAGCTAGCAGTTGGCATTAGAGTTAACTCCACCCTCTAGTCCAAATGTGGTCACTTCTGGTTCCAAAAATCCAAGATGGCACCTGCAAAAATGCCAAACTCAAGACTTCAAAAACAGGAGCAGCAGTAGTGATTATGAGGGGAGTAAAGGAAGATATCAAGTGACGGGACTCTCTAGAAACTTGCTACCTCACCAGGGTTTTGCAGGATGTAGCAGAGTACGTTTCAGTGAGCTCTCTGACTGTCTCAGGGTGCTCTGAGTGCAAGTTCATACTTATGAAGACAACTTGTGTGCACCTTTGTATGAACGCAGAACAAAAATCCTGAATTAATGTTTGTATGATGAAAATGAGAGGATGGACCGAGAAAGAATAATACAATAAAATACATGTTACAGAATATACTAGTCATGCTTTCCTTGTATATCTGGTCTCACATCTACCTACCTGCCTTGTAAACCTGTTTGGGCATCTATTGATGCAAGATACTACACTGATATCTGAATAAAGACTAAATGTCAATATATTTTAGCTCTATTTAGTCGTGCATAATTTTCTGAATTACGTTATGATGTCTGGTAAAAGTCATTTGAAATTCAGCAGGGAAGTCTGGTCATGGTAGCGACTGTGCCAGCAGTACAAGGAGCAAAAATATAGGGGTGCTTTCACATCTGCCCTGTTTAGTTCAGGTCAGTGAACTCAAGCTTGTTTTGCCTCTAAATGTGAACACAGCAATCACACTCGCTTGCCCACCAAACAACCGGACTGAGACCTTCTTGAAGAGGTGGTCTCCTCCGGTTACAAACGAACTCTGGTGCAAGAACGTGTTCCGACCTGGATCTGAACCAACTGCAGTCATGTGACACATTGTTTGGGTTAAACATGAGCATGTTACAGTCCTGGAGGATTATTAATGTGCACCTCCTCCTGTACTGCCTAAATATGCACATTCAGCACATCCACTGCATCAAAACATTGTTTTCTAGTTGGAGCCGCGCCTCGTTTTCAAACTGTATGGTTTGACTAAAATGAACAATGACAGCAATATAGTCCACGATGAGCAGCGCTAAAATCAACCTGCGTAGTTGTCCCTCCATTGTGACATTAGAAAGTGTCACATTTATCTTGCAAGTGTACTCTTCTTCAATGCTTGCTTTACTTCCTGGATTTTTCCAACATGAAAATTCTGACCAATCAAGAGCAGCTTTCTCACACAAGGCATTTGATCTGGTCCGCTTATAAATGCTGCCGTGAGAACACGAACCAACTCTAGGCAATTATACAACTTTATAACTAAATAAGTCCCTGATTCAGACTAAACCAAGACAACTCTAGGTCTGAAAGCACCCTTAAGCACTATTCGGACGGGATTAGTTTTACATGGGCACGTGGGGTAACTGTCACTTTACGACAGGCATCGGTAATATTAATGGCCAATTCGCACGGGATAAGAAATATCAGTAAAACTACCACAAGTGGGAGGAGTAAATCCATTCACGCACCACCGCCCTCTCCTGTCGTCATGTGCGTATGACGTTGCTTCCTGTGCGTACCACACTCCTTCCAGGCGAAACACAGAAGATTTACTGCTGGTCTATTTGCACGGGATTAGTATTACCTGAGGTAATTTTCCAGGACCCTTTTACAGAAGGTAAAAGTCGCAGTAATCTTTACTGACATCGTGCGGTAATGATTACTGACATGGCACATTTGGACTGGACTAAAATCTCTGGTAATTATTACTTTACCCCACATACCCATGTAAAACTAATCCCATCTGAATAGGGCTTTAGTGTATCTTCATTAATGACTATCATTGGGGGAAAAAAAAAAAAATCACAAGTTCTAGTTAGGTGCAAGCTTTCCTGTCGGTTTAATTTTGGGGTTAAGGCAAATATTAGGTTAATAATCCAGTTTTTAGGTTAAAGATTTCCCAGCTCATCCAAAGAGTGACAAGTTCAACTAATGCCAGCCAATAAGAGGGTGCATCAAGCATAAAACACTGTGTGATGATGAATGCATGGCACCACCCCTGGGTGAAATATCAACTTTTCTGTAAGTACGATCAGGTGAAGTTTTAATGCGACACAGACAGATAGTCATTTTGCCCTGCTTACAGTTTTTATGCTAAGCTCAGCTAACCAACTGTGGACTGTACTGATCTTCTTATCTGACTCTCTGCAAGAAAGCAAATATTTCCCAAAATAATGTCTATCTGCTCCTTTAAATGTGACAATAACGACCAAAACATTAAAAGTATGACCCAAATATAAAACAAACAAATAAAAAAATCCATAAATCTCCTTCAGGGTGACAGTGATTATCTTTAAAATTCTTATCTGTGTGTGATTTGAGGACTAACAAGATGAAATCAGATCTTTAAATCACAAATCTTCCTTTAAATATCACATTTCTATTCAAAAGAATCCAAACTTAGGTGGGAATTCTTTTGGTACCAAGTTATCCCAAAGGAGGAGCTTTTTAGGTCATATTCAGATTAGTCCCAGACACAAGGTTTACCCACCAGTCCAGCAGCAGACTGGCTTCACTAAACAGTCGACTAATGTTTCATGAGGGCGCAGCAGACAGTGCCAGACATATTGAGTGGTAAGCTGCCCTGAGCCTCTGAACCTCTGTCATTGGCCTAAATAGATTTTGGGAACTTGTCAGGAGGAAAAAAAAACAACAGAAAACACGAGAGCCGTCCAGACACACAAACTGAATCAGTGCAGTTGCCCATCAACAATCGGTGTCCCCCAAAACATACTGAACATATTGAACAGGGTGGTTTGGCTGCGGGGATGTGAAGTGTTTGTGTTCGCAACAAACAATCTCAGATATTGAACCAAAAATCAATCAAACTGTTGATCAGAAATTATATTGTGTACAGAAACAGAAAACAACAAACACAGCGTCAGGACTGACCTGCAGCAACAGCTCGCCTTCAGGAATCTTGGTCTCCACGGCTCCCGCTGTTTTGCTGTCGTCATCGTTCCCACCGGCTGGAGTCACTCCGTTCAGGGCGACTGTAGAGAGGGACAGACAGGGAGGGAGGTGGAGGTGGAGGTGGAGAGAGGTAGACAGGTTTTTAGTCCTGTGATAATGTTTGCAAAGCACTGCTGTGACTGTCAGGTTGCCTTATCTTTACTACACTAAAGATGCTGCATACGCGGCCAATCCAAGCTCATTAAACATTCATCACATACAATCTGAAAGTCTAATTCACCAAATCCAGACCTTTTATTTGTCTAACCTGCTGGCATCATGATTTCTACATATGATGTTACAACAGAAGAACAAATCTCTTGTTGTTGTTTCAGTCTCCTGAGAAACTCTGCAGTTGTAAACACAGTGCACAGTTTGATAGACTGTAGACTGACTGAAGTGAACGAATATTAGTCCCTTACATCCTCAACACTGAACTAACTATAGAAGGTCAACCTGCAACTGTTTTGTCAATCAATTCATCATCTGTCACTTTTTAAGCTTTATTTTTAAGCTTTAGCTAGCTGAGACGAAAATGCTTATTAGTTTTAGTCACATTTTAAAATTCAAAACATTTAAGTCATTATGTTTTCTACATGTTTTTAATCTTTAAACTAATCCAGTGAGGCTAATTCATGTATCAGACATTAGAATCAAGGTGACAGGATGTATAAACATTTCATTTAGACAGTTTTTTTCTACAACTACGAATAATTTCTGCACACTTCCAAACCGTCATGTCTCCAGCAGTGTCTGACAGGTTTCAGGGCTGACTTACGAGCACACACTTACTGATCATCATTTAAAAAGCTCAACATCTCTCTATTTATGCTCTCAAAAACTCTGACACCACAAATAACTAATCTGAGACAGCTAGGATTTGTACCCAGGTTCATTGTAAACTCTGACTCATCGATCTCACTGTTAAGAAGCAGGAAAACAACCTCTGCAACATGTTAGTCTGGAGGTTTAAACTTGTGTCCTCTCACAGAGTTGGTGATTCAAACTAAACTCTCATCTCTCTCTCTCGTCAGAGAAAACTGATCTGAGTTCAGACTGTTTACTTACAGCACAGCTACACTCACAGATGACAGAGCCTCAAACCATAAACCTTCCTGAGACACTCCACAACATCCATTCAGCAGCTCCACCATCCACAGTCAGACACACATGGCTGATTCATTACTGCTGAATTACAGCTCACATCTCGCACCAACGGCTGACGCTACGCCACTGTGAGTGGTTTCGCTGGCTGGTGAAACATTCTGCTGCAGACTAGTTACTGGAGTTTACCAGCCTGTCGCTCATGCAGATAATTACAAGATAATTACAAGCCCCACCATTTTCAGCTTTCAGTGTCTGATAGTTCACCACTCACATTTTTGTCACATCTTATCTCGTCAACAAAAATGAAACAGTCTTAGATTTTATTATCTAGATCTATTTTTAGCTCATCATCATCTCATTTTTCGCATGGAAAAAGGTTGTTGCTGAAAATTCTCATTGTCTATGTAGCAGCACCAAGGTTTATACATTTTGACATCACATATTTGAGTTTTAGCACTCTAGTTTTTGGATTTGGGAGAGAGATGTTCACGCTTACTATTATTTTTGGACTGTCTTTGGCCATAGGAGTAACACGTATGAATTTTTAAAATAGCCGTAGTTCCCCTGTAACTACAATGGGTTTTTAAATGCTCTACATATGTGATTAGTGTCTGGATTTCTGTTATTGGTGTTAAACAACATTTGGGTGAACAAAAGGAATATATCTGTTTACTTATAAAACATTAAAACATGAAATCTGTTTGTATTTGGTGCTTTATATAAATTTGGTTCCCTTCATCAAAGGAGCAAGGTCAGAGGAATGAGTTTTTCAATAATTTTCTACTTGCTGGGTTTAAAATAAAGGTCAGCAGAAAAGAAAATACATATTTGAAGGAACAAAATTGTTTAAATTTCTTAATAATTTCCTTTTTACGCACAGATCAGTTTGTCTAAGCCCCCAAACAACAAGAGAAGTAAAGCCAACATCCACAAAACAAAAGGGTTAACAAATCAAACAGGACAGGATAAGTCAGATCTTTGTAATGAAGTAATGATATGTTGCAAATTTATCCCAAACATTTATCAAAGTGAGTGTGTGTGTGTGTGTGTGTGTGTATGTGTGTGCCAAACAAACTGATGAGAGAACTGAGCTGTTGGAGAAAAGCTCTCTGTCTCTCCCAGAAACGCTTTGTTGCCACATTCAAGTGAGATGAGGCGACAGTTCCTTCAGGCGTCACTATATTTGCACTTTACAGATTGCTCAGCTCAGCTCACCCTCCCCTCCTCCCCCCTTCACTCTCGTACCCAGTCTCATCACTCCCCCTGCTCCTCCCACAACTCCTCTCTGCCCCCCCCCCCTCTAGTCTATCATTGGCTGGTGTCCCCAGCTGTTCCCATCCTAATGGGATTCTCCTTTTTCCCCAGCGTGACATCATAACTGTTTTTTTCTTACATCCAGCTCTGGTGCTGCAGGCGTGTGAAGCTGTTAGAAGGCTGGTGGGTTAAATACGTGGAGTTACGTTCAAGAGATGTGTTATCCTGAGTGTCATCCTGCATTTAAAGGATGAAAAGACAATGAAGTGCACTTGTTAACTTGTAGTTTAAACAAGTTTACCAAAATAAGAAATATCAAAACGTAAGAACAATGAACACTGCACAGCTACCCTTATGTGTGTCAGCGTGGGTTTCCTCCAGGTACTCCAGCTTCCTCCCACAGTCCAAAGACATGCAGGTTAATTGGTGACTCTAAATTGAGTGTGAATGGTTGTCTGTCTCTATGTGTCAGCCCTGTGATAGTCTGGTGACCTGTCCAGGGTGAACCCTGCCTCTCACCCAATGTCAGCTGGGATAGGCTCCAGCCCCCCCCCTGAACCCTAACAGGATAACCAGTTACGGAAAATGAATTAATGAATGAACTTCATGCTCTGATTACTGACCTGAGTCCCTATCATTAAGACAATCTACAGAGTCTTTGACCACTGGTGGCCTTTGTGGTCTTAAGCAGCGTGTCATACTTGCATTTGACCATGTCGTTGAGCTAGTTTGCTCTCTCTCTGTTAAGTAGCTGTCTCACTAGGGTGACCATATTTTGATTTCCAAAAAAGAGGACACTCGGCTGGCCACGACATAGCCTACTTAAATGATACTCGCAGTTTACTCAAAGATGCCTTATAATTTTAATATATTTAAAATTTATATATATGGATAGAAAATTCAGTTATATTACAAAATAATATCTCTCAAAGACAGAAATTCAGATAGGCCCCTATAGGGGACACATACACACACTAGCGTGTGGCTACCTGATCCGAGCCCGATGGGTCCAGACGGTAGGCCTACCCGACAGTCACGGGTCAGATTCGGTCAGCTTTCAGTGAAAATGTAGTGTAAAAATAAATAAAATCCTATTGTCTGTCCTGTTTATTGCTTGGGCACCGTTATTTACGTGACTACACCTGAACATAACACACACACACACACACACACATTGGCCTCTCCCCTCACTGGAAGTCTCGGACCTCCCACCGCCCGCCTCCGCCTTGATTAAACGCTGAAAATAAAATAAAAGAGGGAGTCAGGTTTTTCCTGTTTTATCTTATTTTGTTTTATTTTTCCCTCTCCCCTCGCTGGAAGCCTCGGACCTCCCGCCTCCCGCTCCCGTCTCAAACACGGAGGTTTCCCTCTCCGCTGAGCACCCACGGTGCACGCCCGGCCTGTTAAATAGCCTGTAACCACTGTGTGACACAAACTCAGTGCTTCAGTCATTAAATAATGTCGGGCTCGGTTCGGGTTTGGACAGAAATATGCGGCCCGTGCCGCACTCTAACACACACACACACACACACACACACACACACACACACACACACACGGAAAACCGGACATTATCATCAGTTTATAAAAACCCCCCCAGACGCCCCGGACGGGACGTGAAAAGTGGACATGTCCGGGCAAAAGAGGACTCTACAGCAGGAAACTGTACTTCAAAATAAAAGTTCTGTGCCAGATATTCACTGTACTTCAAAATAAAGTGTGTTTTTATACAAACTTGACACATTTGTTAGTCTCTTAAACTCCATTCAGAATCGAGCCACAACCCATTATGTAGGAATCCACTGCACTATAAATAAGACGCAAAGTACAGAAAAGCATAACAGGCCCCCTTTAATAAAATGTATCAATACTTTTTGGATCTCAGTGAGTCTTTTTTGGCAGTGTGTCAGACAGAGCAAACCAGGCTGACCTCCGGCTCTCAGCAACTTTGCTTTGTTTCCTGAGGTCGCTACATCAGTTTAGACTTGCACGACAATAAAAAAAACACATTATTTATTTATTACTTCTAAAGTGGTTTTAAAGCAAATAACCTAATAATCAATCACTTGAATGACAATTCTAATGATTGATTGATTAACTTATTGATGCAGCAATAAATTCTAACTATTTCAGTCCCTCCAGAGTGACAGTCTGCTGCTCTCCTCTGACCTGATGCACTCTGAGTTTATGTTCTGTTGATCAGAATAAAGAGTTTTAAGACATGGCTTTGAACTTTGTAAAATTCTGATTGAAAAGCTTTGATTATCAGTTGATTAATGACAAATCAGTGAATTTTTAGTTGCAGCTGATATCATCATTTATTATTTCTACAACGTGAGACGATGAGCTGCGGTGATGTCATGAGAAAGAGAGCAGTGGTCAAGCACATTAATCTCTGACCCCTGCAGCAGCACCATGCTGCGACCCGTGATGACCTCTGACCCCAAGGGTGATGTATGACATGATTGGGTGACTGGGTTCTGGGTCAGATCTTTTGTTGTCTGCAAAAGGGGTTAACAAGGAGTCCATCAGCAGGGCGGGGCGGTGTTAGGAGTGTTAGGGCAGACACTGGATAGCATATGGGCTTTGTGTGGGGAGGCTGACGTGTCCTGGACCTTCACACGAGACACGGCTTTGGTTGGACACCCCTGACCTTATTCCCATACAGATACCTTGGATC